GGTGACTGTCAGAGACAACTCGTCCGAACAATATTAGAGAAAGAGGTTATTCTATAAAGGCAGAAGGATATGGAAATTAAGAGCGTGAAATGTGTAATAGAAAAAAAAGGTTTTGCAGAATTATACGTTACTAATGCGTTCAAACTGGTTTCTTCCACTGGAAACTGGCTGACGCGGTGAGAAAAGACTCTAAGAGAATGCTCATGTTAATGCTTAATGCGAGCGTATGGCAATACATGCCGCCAAAACACATTCATGTGTGTACTTTGACAGCGGCAAACGAAATGAAAACAGGAGAACAACGTTCCGATCAAGCCTGCTTTGAAATCACCATGAAACTTGGTAGAGCTAAAGTAAAAGAAAGCAAATAGTTTAATATGCTGTGATAGGCCCTCCCCGTACGTATTTCTCGATGCAGTAGTACATGATACTAAAACGTTGCATCGCACATACAATACACAATAGGCTCAAAGGAATATGATTCATTATGGGATCAAAGATTCGCACCTATGTACATTACATGTAGAAGACATCGACCCATAGTTTTTTTTCGCAGTTTCTCTTACAAGGCTGATACGCGCCAAATCAGACCAGCGTTAAACTCTGAGTCAAAAGTAAATACGCTTACTTTGGTAGCATTGCGTCTGACATAGTGGCTTATGGTCGTCCGTGGTTGGCCAGAAAGGATACGGTAGAGTCTTATAAAGTAGACAACGATGAATCCTATGGCTGGCACGCAGTGAATCAGGGAGATTTGATATCAGGGAAGTGCCTGCTCACACGTTCGCTAGGGCGCACTAGTCGAACTCTTAAAGGGCTTTATGTAGAGAACAAGCTGAGAAGGAGCCAGGGACGAACACGAGCCTAGAAGCTCGGACGGGCACATGCCCTCGCATAAGCCATCGCTCGAAATGGATCTGGTTAGTGGAGCGAGTAACATTAATGAAACAAGTATGGCGGTGGTTGTAGCAAAAGCCTTAGCTGCTATAGCGGAGCCTATCTGGCTTGGTGAGCAGTTACTCATCCACAATTAGGTTGGCGCCTCCACTCAGATCATCTCACGAAAAAAGACTTTCATACCGCAGTCCACTAAGAGGTCACGCGTGTACAAATTTCAAGATGATCGAGAAATCGAAGGACGGTCTTACCGCTGAAGCGTGTCGAACTCAAAGAGTAGTTGTTTTTCCACTTTGTCGTCTTAGTTTCATTCGGTCCCGCCTATGCCCTGTATCTGTGCGCGCTTTTCATTATGATCAAACGAGCTCACAGACAGCGTAAGCGAGCTGCCCATTTCCCCACGGATTCGTTCCCACACTCTCACTTCACCTGAATTGCGGACGTATGATCACCTCTGGATGTCGCGCAAGCCGTTTGTTAACGACCGCAACAGTCTAATCAGCTAATTCGCCCTTTGCCTAATATTCGGTCAGTACACCTACATGTTGGCCAGACATGGTCTGTAGGTTTCCTCCTACTTTCTCACTACTACCTAAGGTGAACTCCTACTTTCTACACGGCTGTCTTGTTCTTATTTTACGCAATACACCAAGTACTGGATACTACTGATAGTCACCACAATTGACAGCAATGTTCATAAAAGCCGGCTTAATTTGGTAGGCGTACGCGACTAGCCAGCGCGACGACGGCCAGCTGTAACAGCGGTGTGACAAATAAGAACTCATGCCTGGCGAGACCAACTGTCTTAATATGTTACTTTAAGTTTCCAAGTGAACTTTTCAAAAATCCTTGATAAGATTTCTTATCTAGTCTACACAGCATCCACATGGGTCCAAATGGTTCTACAACTATTATATGTGTATACATATATCTATATCACGCAAAGAACGTACTTTAGGCGGCCTGACGCATGATTAGTAATTATACATATCCAATTATTAGTATAAAGAGGGTGTTCTTGGAAGGAAAAGATTACCATCCTATAACTTAGACGCCTCCGTGTGCCGAACAGCATTTGCGGATTAGTCTCTTGTGGCTCGAATAACGTCTGGGCATTTGCCGTCATTGGATAGCAGGATCGGAGCCGTTAGTAGCACGGTGCTACATTGACTATGAGTATCGAGCAACAATTTACTTGTGTTTCAATGAACAGTGCCGATCTACACATGTACGACGTATGGCACATGCACGCTCATTTTAGCTTCATACTTAATAGATATCAAACATTGAACTGTATTTACAATTGAACTTAGATACTCCTTTAGAGGCGCCTAGCAAGAAGCTTAGGCAGACAAAAAGCCTAAGGCTTTTATTCTAGTCATTTTTCTATTTTCTGTCAAATTGTTAGAGATTTTCCCCGGAGGTCCACGAAGAGAAGCAGCAAAGTTTTTGTACAAGACATCTTTGTTTCAATGATTCCTGTTCTCTGTTACTCCACGATTGGAAAATATGCACAGAGGATATAATGAAACAGTTGACGCTTTACGACCAGCAAGGAAATGTATGGTCACGAGAGCTGACACACAACCGCTTTTGTTTCTCGGTGGCTCGTTAATATTTCGACACAATGCAGATTCCCCAACTAACAAGCACTTTTAGTGGCTCATTTTACAATCTCAGTATACATACTGATGCTGTAAGACGTTTATATATAGCAATGCTGTTAGGATAGAGAACGAGGTACTCAGAGCCGTTGGACTATATTCTGAGTGCTTAGGTTCTCCGAAAACACGATAAAAATATATGCCCGCTGATAAAAAAGAAGCTAGGAAATCAAATAATCGGCGCAATCAGTGGTACCTAACGTTGGCCAAATAGACTCTAATAAGTGAGTTTTTTTTTAATCCTTAGCTTCATACAACGCACATCAGACCTCAACACTGAACAATGTTAATTTTCTAACATTAAAGCAAAAATATGGCATGAGTCAGAGAAAACATTCTTTTTTTTTTATCGTAATTTTATTGCTATTGCTAGAAATCCTGTTTAGGATATTGTACTTGTCAAGAGAACGAAGGGAAGAGCAATCTTGAGTAGCAAACAATTAACGAGCCTTTGTAGTCAGATAAACGCATGCGATTGCAAATACTGGTCCGAAGAAACGTACGTATAGGTCGATACGTACCGTGCCTTATTTGATCTACCGCCATAGTAATAGTAGAGTAGAATATGCGGAATAACTAGCGCTAGTAACCCCTGTAACGAACCTACTACTCAGTAACACTGTCATCTAACGATGTATATATATATAGCACAAAGAACGTATATTACATCATCAATTTTTTCAGCTGTAGCATTTAGTTGTTCTAAAAGATCTACGAAGTGAAGCATGCACACATAGCATCGTCAGGTAACACTAGGTAAATCAAAAGCTTGTTTTGGTTTACCAGTGTTTTTCGTGCGGACAATTATGCATATATTTATTCTTCAATTGCAGAAAGCCGTTTTTTAATTGGCTATCACCTTCATGATCTACTCTTTCCCGTATGGTACGCGTAACGAGTGATAATAGTTTACAGATATTTCAAAATTTCTTACTGCATTGGTTGTGCTTATAGCCGGCAGGTTGCTGCTACTGCTATTCACATGCGGACGAAAAATTGTTATTTCCACTATTATTATTGGCCGGTCAGCGAGCAGAAAGTGTAGACCTAATTTTTTGGTCAATTGGCCTTTTTTCAAGTCTAGGGCTAGTCCCGCTTTTCTCTACGAGCTTCATGTTATATCCTAAGGTAAAGGCTTCCCAGTGGTTTTCCGGTACTGTCACTTGGCTTATCTTGGTGGTCGTGGCGGGCTCCCCCCTGGTCGGTTCCAAACGCCAACATTGTACAGACGATACGAAGCAGTTAACGGACTGCCGCCAGCCGTTAACGGACAGCCACTCATAAAGCGACAGTGCTTGGAGCCCAGGCACCCGTCGCCGCCCGGCTCGTCAAATCCAGAAGCTCCCTTTCCTGTATTCTGCATCCTCAGTCAACATCTCCGCCTGTAAAACCGCTAGTGCTAGCTAATAGCGAAAAGACGGCGGTCCAGTTGGTTCATTTTCTCAAAAGTTTAATTTATTAGAATACAACCATTACTGCTTCTCACAACTCACCCTGGAACATCCCCTGTTTTAGACTTCGTGTCCCATGCTCAACGTCTGCTCCCTCTCTCATACTTCGGTAACGTATATATGTACCTGAGCTTCATCCCTGTGTGACCCCGCCATAACAGTCGTGCCGCAGTCTACGCAGGGTCATACCGCCTTGTTCAACGCAGCATCTTACCTGCTACTCTTCCTAGGTAACTAAGGAGCCGCGCCGACCGAGAGTCTGATACCGACCATTCCTTTCTAACAAGCCTTAGCCTAGCTGAGCCAGGATCTGGAACGTGTATTACTCCGAGCTTATGCTAGGCAACCTGCACAGTAGTAGCAGAAGGACGCATTTCAAGCATGCGACCATCTAGTGCTGGCTTCTTTACCGCCCCTTTTCCGTCTGACGGTCGCCATCGGTCGCTCGAGCGGCGGAAGGATGAGGCTGCAGAGGGCGGACAGACACACACCATGATGTCATCAATGAAGATAGTAGCTAGGCAGCGACCCTGTCAACGATTGTGACGACGCCTGTGTTTAATTGTAGTGATTTGACTTTTTGCTTAATATGGCGTGTGGACGTTGGCCGCAAGAACAGAAGCGAAATAGGACACTACTATCGTATATGCTATACTGTAATTGTCTCCTGGCCAAACTCTGAGTCTATAGCTTCTCTCTCTTTTCCTCTCCAGCCACTTTAACCATTCTAGCCTACATCTATTATTATTCAAGCTACAATATACTATGGCTGTTTGCTCAATGGCTCTTGGCGGTGTTGAATCGTTCTCAGTACATCTAAATTTTGTTTTTTGGCACCTATACTATACACATATTTGCACGATACAATGACTATCGCATTTATAACCTGAGGAACTCAACTTTCTGTAGTCTTACTGTCTACTTTGCGCCCGGTCAGAATACATCGGTCTGAACGACGTAACGACGAGGACTTAACATCAACACTACGTTAAGCACAACAGCATTTATTGATGGCCATTATTTAGGACGTCGTTGTCGGATCGGAACTTACCGATCAAAGTAAACCTGTCTAGCAGAAAAAAGACTTAACTCATTGGATACAGGCTGCATACATATTGCAACGTATTTTACTCTGCGTGCTGCCATCTTTGGTAGCACTATAGTGGCAGAAATTTGTCTTCGTTGCGCTATCGGTTTTCCTAAAGGGACAAGATTCGTCCACAAATCACATTTTGCCTCCTTAAAAACCTATAAGTGTTCCCTCAGCCCTGTATCGTACGCCTGGTCCTGCACAACAGCTTGGATAGGTTTTCAGAAAACGTTGTAGGCATTATCTTGATTTTGTTCTATCAAACCTTATTTACTACTGTTCGTAAAGGGAAAAGTGTAGAGCAAGATCAGTGGAGATCACGACGTAATTGCAAATAAGTCCACTGAACAATATGAAGTTACACCGAGCATCCTTTTACATAACAAAGGTACTTTTCAGAAACGTAACGGGCCATTTACGAAAAGTATTCTGTAACTACTTGTAACCCGAGCGATCCGAAACACAGAAAAGGACGACGCTTTCTCTGAAATGAAATAAGTAAGTAGTCGTGAGCGTCGCAGTGCTTAGAAATTGGATTTGTTCGGAAATTTGTTCATTCATGTACAGCATCTGTGAATAATACGTAAACTCTAGCGGAACGCAAGAACTTATGTGGTCCAATATATTAAGCGACTTTACAAAATGCATCTTTTCTTCGTAGTATTTGTCATTGCAGGCAAACATAGATATGTCATTATAGTGTTACATCTAGTAAAAGGCTGGTCTTATAGACATTGCACGAAGTCCCCATGGTTCGCTCACAGTTGTCATTATTGCTCTATGGATGCTTCCTAGGTAGAAGGCTCTTTTCATGGACAGATTCGAATCTTCATTAGAATACTCGTCAGTCTGGCTGTAAGCATGTCATCCTATTCTCCAGGGTATTTCTCCAGAGTTTCCTAGACCTAAGTAGCAGGTCATTTGTTTCCCTGGACTACGACTCCGTAATGGGCTTCTAGTTTCGTATGGGAAGACCTGCGCCGCTACATTAGTAATCCAATGTCATGTCTGGGAGCTCAGAAGCAGCACCTTAGTCCGCGTCCATTAACGTAGTGACATGACCAACATGTTTATAGCATAAACCTATTTAAGATATTACTATCCGAACGAACTTAATCGTGCTCCTAAACAGTTCCTAATTTAGAATGCACGCATAATTATCAAGCCTAAAGGGGTCGTTAATTGCCTTTAGGATACAGTGAATTTCTTTTCATGGTATAGTCCCAATATTACGGTACGTTAATGTAAGATCGACTATATCAATCACGGGTTAAGCAAAAAACTATCGAAAGCACTTTAGGACATCGTGTTCCATTTCGAATGATAATACGTACGTGAATGGGTTAAGTGGAAGCAATATTTGTTGACATTTGGACGTAAACCCGGATGATTTGTTCAATGCTCTCGGGTTTGGAAAGAAAATGGAGGTCAACGAAGTCAAATCCGTCAGACTGCCGAAGGAAGAAATGCACGCACATAAAATAAAAAACATTATCAGACTAATCAATACATGTGTTTCTTCAAACGAAACGAAAGATCCGTTACTCACTCGAATTGGTTCTGATACAAAATCAAACGGAACAAGCTAGTAATGCTACATGTGTCAATGACACAATTGTGTTCCTGACACAATAACTAACCGCTTGATAATTTATATCACTATATCTAATCATTATGTGTGGGGACACCTTCTTCTAATGCATATATTTCATAATATATTCATCGTTTTTTTTTTTTCTTTCTCTAGCTAAGTCTACGAGCTTTACGTCCTAAACCCCGTTAGACGTTACACCAGACAGTATTCTACCTGGAACATGTGCTAAGCTTCTTGATCGTCCTAAATCTTCATATGTTCTCAGTTGGAAACAAGGCATACATCTTAGGCATTCAACAGTTACCAAAGTTAGTATATCGTTGAAATAGCACATGGCTGTTTGTCAAACCACTCCAACTGAGATCTGAATATAGATTGAACGCGATAATTTCGGCAACCAGGTAACGGTTGCTAAAGCGCGAGGTTGGAGACCCGCTGCGATTAATCCAATTCTATTGCGAAAAATACAAATAACATCTTTTCCAAGAGCGAGCTTTGCTTTACAGAAATGTGTCAGTAAACGCGGTTTGCATGGTAAAATTCCGATGTGTCGTAACTGACTATAGAAATGAGGTAAAATACCTGTGAGTAATTTGTGTTTATCGCTTGCATTACCTTCAAGTTGATGGCCGCGTCCTTAAAATAAAACCATGTATTATTCAAGGTAGACATTTTCTAAGAAATGCACTTAACTTAGCGTCTTAATTACCTTTTATATTACGCAAGAAGGGCATTCGAGCTTTACGTTCCATGCCAGCAGCGGACACGACAAGGCTAGGCGCGCGGAACTGTGTATCTTTGGAACAGTATTGGTTGGAAATTTGTCAAGTACTATTTCTTTTCTATCTAAATCTATTGGAACCAGTAGAATATCGTTTATGAGCTTGAACCTAGACGTTGGCATGGGTCATATTTTAAATAAAACAGAAGACTTTCCTCTTGGCTACGAATCAATTTAATACTGTATTTCGAGCTATAAAAGGCATAACAATACCGTCAATTTACTCGTCGACTTTTTGCGCAACCTTCCTTGCTTCCTGACTTAAAACTTACACACGAAAAGTTCAACTCTTGCCTCTATTTAACATTGCCGTTTCTACAAAAAGCCATAGTCAGTCGTCCTGTTCCTGTACCTCTCCCTCAATGTGAGTAGCTGAAGCTTCACAGGCTCGACGATATAGCATTATGTAAAACTGCAGAGTATTTATAGCATGATCTGTTTTGGTTAAGTGTCTGTTTCAAATCCTAGCCTTTTAAAAAAAAAACTTACAACATCTGAAATAATTGGCAATTGCTTCGTTCTTTTGTTATTCTTGATATTTTTATGGCGTCCTATTTGTCTGTCTTTTACAATTCTTCGAAAATTCTTAGGGGATGCTGTATTAATGTTTTCTTGTTCTCCTTTTTGTTTTCGATTGACCGTTCTGCTAAGGGTTTGTCCAAAGAGTATCTTTACCAAATATGTGCCACTTTGCCTAATTGATGGCTGGCATTATGACAACAGGAAATACCAGTACAGTTTTGTACGCTAATTTTGGCCGGCGTTTTTCATTGCTAAATTTAACCGGATTTCTCATATAGCCTCCATAAGCCTGTAAGCTATTTAGATCGACTAAAGTACCGGATGTATAGGTACCGGATGGATTCCGCATCTGTCTTACAATGAATTCTAGGCGGCAAATTTGAGTTGTTTCTGAAGCATAGTCCTCACCTTAACATCTTCGAATAGCTGATATTATATGGAAACAATGATAGTGAAGTACAAATACATTTTCAAAAAAGCAGCATATGCCGCGAAATCGAGCACCAGCGACACGCAAAGGTGCAAAGCGTACAAAGTCTGAGTGAAAAACATTACTTTTTGTTAATAATAGGCGCACAGATTGATATTGATACTGTTAAGTTTATGGATGCTTCTTGAAGTGCAAAAGAGCACTGATAATTTTCAGGCTAATTCAGTTCTCTGTCTCTTTTAAAGTATGACCTTGATCTAATTTAATAGGTCAGTGAAATCATTGGCTCATCCGGTAAAATTATGTGCACAATTATTCATACATATGCGTGTACAAACGGGGGCCTTTGTAAAGCTCAGCTAAAATATCCTAGTCTTGTGGCGTGCAACATAGTTAAGGTCATCTTAGAGAGAAGCAGTATAGGTGTATTCAAGACTGAGTAAGGCCACCGACAGATGCATCTCGTCCTGGATCGCTACTACTATGGATTGTTGTCGGCTACATATAATACTTTATAATAGCGCCATGCAAAGAAATAGTTATCCAAGTTCCTGGGCGGTCATTTAATCCGATGCTTCCAGTATTATAATTCTCTCTGGCTCATCGAATCAAATATATTTAGCCCTTTAACATATCACTTTTCAGATAATTTCAAACAGTTTCTTACACTGAACAATAAAATTTAATGAATTTTTGTAAAAGAAATGTGATCCACAAAAAGAGCTAGCTTGGCCCTGAGGAATTATACAGCTTCATATTTTCTTGCTAAAATTATAGTTTTTTTTTTTTTTTAGAAGATAAGCATTCTTTTTTTTTGTATGGCTGTGTAGGCTTAAAAACATACGTGTCTTTCCGTGATATTTTTTCGAGAAATCTTTTTGGGTCACAGGATTAGAATTTTTTTTTGGCAAACACACCCGTGTTTTCTCTAACGATCACTTTCAAAAATTCATTTAAATAACTTTTGGCTTCTAAAACTCCATCATCATTTTTGACGAACACGATGTCATTACCACAGTATGTTATTCGAGCCCGGAGAAATCACGTATAAAAGATGCGATATATGAACGTGAGCTATAAGCCTTTTATATGGCCTAAGTGGCGAATTTCCGTTGATTTCCTATGTGTGTTCCTCGGTGAAATATTCCACGGGGGAAATGAGACGGGTCTACATGAAAGACATCCGATGCGTGAGTGACGCTGCGAGCAAGCAGCGGCGGTGCCTCTTCGCTCTCCGTACGCATTGCTTCCTGTTGTTACTTATACTGCTGGCGCTATTCCTTAGGCATAACCGAAAATTAGTATAGAGAGCTCTTGACGTAGAAACTCTGGGTTCTGTTCTGCTCTACAAAAGAGCATCTGCTGCCATCTGCCTATTGGTTTATCGATGCCAGTGTTGTCCTTGGGTATCCGAACTGCAGAAGCAGCAGCAGCAACAGCCGCTGCCTCCTAGTTCTCTGACCCCATGCTACCGAGTACTGGTCATTATGTAGTCTCCATCTTTCTCTCGCAGGTTGGAGGGCGCGTTCGAGTTCATTGCTTAGCTGTATGAACTTATATGTGCGCTGGTACTTGTCTAGCATCGAAAAAGCCAACAGCCGCATCTTGTATTCTGTGTGAGAGACTGTGCGCGTTTGTATTCCGAACTCTATGCTTAAGTTAGGCAGACTAAGCAGATGGAGCACAAGAGCAGAAAAACTAAGACGGAGCCTAGATAACCAGCTTGCCGTCGCTGCTTCGGTCCTGTCTTACCAAGCCATCCCTGACCGCGCTCGTTTCCACATCTCCAGATCAGGCCCCGGCCTGCCCGGTGCCTCTAGTATAGGTGACATCGGGAGCCAACGAGCTCAAGTAAAGTCAATGGTTGTCGGCATTTCCGATAGCATTCTTGCATCTTACGCCCGCACATCTTACTCCAGCACCACAGTACCCCGTCCCGGGCCCGTGAAAACCAGCATCCTCGGTTATGTCTTCCCAACATATAACTAGAGCCAGCTGCATAATATAGTAAGGAGCAGCCGGCAAGGCTTAGTCGACAGCCGCGGTATAAATGCAGGTGCTGATAAACAACGAAGGACAGGACAGCATCGAGAATAAGAAAACAGAGAGCCCACTGAAACTCCTAAGGGAGCACGAACGGACGGAAGGGACAACATTCGGGGGGAACGGCCGCTTCTTCCAAGGTTAGCAGCTTTCGGCGGCAGCAGTGTGGGACGCAGAGTAACGTACGGGTCAGAAGCCGTGACACCGCATCAGCGTGAAAGTATAAAGATCATAAACTGGAGGATTCTTTGCCCCTTTGTCCATGCTCTTCAATCGACGCGGAACAGCTCGATCTTCTTCTGACGACAAATGCATAACGCTGACTCTGATGCTGCCGAAAATCAACACGACAGCCACTGCCACCGCCACTGCATGCATCACGCTTACGCATCTATGAATCAATTAATATTAATACTAACTGTGCGTCTTTGACAGCGTCTCGATAGCTTACTAAAGCAATGATAGCTCTATGGAATTGCAACAAACCAAGCGCGCGTGACCCCAAAATTACCATCGTCTCACATAGAGCGAAGTGCTATAAGAGCCGTGTTTATTTAAAAAATAACAGATAAGATACCCTCAGGTATTTCAAACATGAACGCATGTATGCCCTTCAAATTAGGGGTTATTTAGTTGAATAAACATTTGAAAAAAATTACTAATGTGCGAGTCTATGGAACGAATCTCCTGACGAATGGAAACTGAACAGAGATAAACGCAGGCGACCGTTGCCTGGTATAATTCGTTTTTGTAATAATAACAGTTAGACCAATTTTGCTGAAGTTACTCTACGAAAAGGATAAAATAGACCCCCATGGATTTATACGCCGGTGCGAAACTCACAGATATATACCGCTAAAACTGCTTCTGCCGCAGTCACTTGGTCATTTAACGAATATGCGTAAGTTAATCGAAGTATGGTTTGTAGCAAATGAAGTAGAAAAGTTCAACGTAATAGATGAAGTTCAAAAGTATTTGTAGTATATCGCAATCATTTTCGCTACGACAGAAACACTTGCACCTCATATTCTATTATTTAACATAAATTTGAGAAACAAATCTTCATACCCTACAAGTGATTGCAAGATTTCCTTTTAGTATGGCTTATTAGTAGACAAAACACTTTATAAAAAAAAAATGAAATAATTAACAGAAAAAAATATGATACAGTCGACCAAAGATGATAATACATGTAGCAGTCCCTATTATTCTTGTTATAATACAAAACCGCGTATAAATTAAGATAGTCATAATACTCTTACTATCACAGCTCTGCTCATTTAAAATGTAACAGACATTACCGCAAAATAAGATTAGAGGTAAATTAAAGATGAAGTACGGAATGTCTTAGAGGTAGAGGATAGGATATTCATTCGCTATCGCGGCAAGCCTAACCACTATCGCTTAAAATGTGACTAGACTAAGTGTTACCATGTTACGGCGTTCGTTAGATTAGTATAGAAAACTCTTCCTGACATACGGTGTTGGGGGTGGGGGGTGGGGTAGCTGGAATATAATAATAAAGTAAAACTTAGTTCACTCCTTACGTTCAAGTGAAAATCGTCCCACACATAACGCTTTCACTTGCGAATGAGAGCTGCAGACAGGGGGTCCCTTATGCACGACGGCGTGTCCCTATTCTCACGCACAACGTAATTTTCGAATAGCAGTGTAGGCTAATGATATGACCTATTTAACGTGTCCCAATTTCTGTTGTATTTCAGCCAAAATGTTTTCTTTTTCACGGTAATGGATCATTGAATGAATAATGACTATACAGAATTCCTTAGTGTTAAACGCTATAGGGATTCTAGTAAATACTCACTACAGGCCACTTAGACAAATGAGAAAAAAATGTATGTAGTTTGTCAGTCAGCCGTGATAAATGTCTTAAAAACATATCTTAGCAATAGGCCAATTAATCCTGCAACGACAGCAATAGTAAGTAAACCTTACAAATCAAGTCGCAGAAAAGCAGTCTCCTATAAACGGGATTTAGGTTGATGTATTTATCCTCGCGATACGAGATATAACGCGCTTACCTGCTAAACATTCGGAATACCTGGTGATTCATGTCGAAAAGCGGGCGTAGAGACCAAAGTGCCGGACGTGAAACTTGAACATTTTTTTTACATTGAAAACAAGTCTGGTTTATTATAAATTGGTAAGCAAGTAACCGCGTGAGCTCTAACATGTAATAGACACATAAGTGTCAAAGACAGCTGCCGGCATAGCTTCCAAAATATTCGAAAGCCCATATACATATATATATGTACATATATACATATCCATCATCGTTACAACGATAAGTGTTATGCAGTTGCGGTCGTCTACATTATGCCGCGTTTATGGCCAGCATAACTTTGTTAGATCAATCCGGATAATTAAGCATGTAGATCAAGGAGTACATTAGTAAATTACTTTTTTTTGAACATTATATCATAGTTAGTTCTATTTC